ACTCTTTCCATTGATTTCTCAACCCCCAACCTTCCTCTACCCCAAAACAAAGCTGTCCTTGGTACTACCTTCCATGCTGCCTTTCTCTGCCACACCTCACCCAATGCAGAAATTGTTCCTTTAAAGATGAGCAGTGACTTTCTAATTACCAAGTTCAGTGGATATTTTTCTGTTCTTACCTCATAAGTCCCATTGAGCATACTCTCATTTCCTTAAGCTGAATGGGACTTGGGAAGGCCTAATGAGCAATTAAGAGGTTAGGTGTGCCTCATATAACATAATAGGTAACCTCCTGAAATACTTATCCATTCTTCAGATTTAGTACATTGAACTTTATGCTTAATGAATCGGGGAAGTTTGCTATTTAAAGGAACTCTTCTGCAAACAGAATTACCTCCTGTAATAAGCATTATTATTCCCAAATGTACATGACTTTGAAAATTTGTTTCTTCCTATTTCCAAGCTTCCTTAAAGGGACACACTCTCAACCTCACCGTTATCATTGCCTTCCTGGTAATTTATGCATAGGAATCTGGGTTACTGGTTCTATACTGGTTCCATCAAGGGCATCTATACTCTAAATGAGACACAGAGTGAAAAGTTCCCAGCACATGGTGGATATTATAAACACTGAAAACAGGAAGCAAAAAAAGGAGAATGAACTAAAAAGTGGAACTTCCATATATCTTTTAGGCCAAAATGTTTTTTTAAAATCATCTGGGATGCCATTTCACACCACTAGGATGGCTATAAAATAAAAGTAAAAGGAAAGCCCTGACTGGTTTGGCTCAGTGGATAGAGCGTCGGCCAGCACTGAAGGGTCCCAGGTTCGATTCCAGTCAAGGGCATGTACCTTGGTTGCGAGCACATCCCCAGTAGGGGGTGTGCAGGAGGCAGCCGATCGATGTTTCTCTCTCATCGATGTTTTTAACCCTCTATCCCTCTCCCTTCCTCTCTGTAAAAAAATCAATAAAATATATTTTTTAAAAAAAGTAAAAGGAGAATAACAAATGTTGTCAAGTATGGAGAAACTAGAATCCTCATACATTGCTGGTGAGAATGCAAAATGGTGCAGCCACTGTGGAAGTTTGGTGAATCCTCAAATAATTAAACATACAATTACCATATGATCCAGCCATTCCATTCCTTGGTGTACAGCCAAGATAACTGAAATCAGGTGTGTTTAAAAAATAAAAAAACTTGTATAATAAATTCCAAGCAGCATTATTCGTAAGAGTTAGGCTAGAGAATGGGAAGTGATTGCTTAATGGGTAGGGGGTTTCTTTGGGGGCTAATGAAAATGTTCTGGAATTAGATAGTAGAAGTGATTACAAAATATTGTGGAGACCATCCAGTTGGTGTTCCTTCCCTCCCCACCCAATTCCTGAAAACAAAAAACAAAATAAAAACAACAACTATATATACATATATATGTTGGGACCTACCAAAAATCCTATTTGCAAGGCATTATAATAATCCATTAAATATTTCAAGGTTTAATCTTAAAATATTTACATTTCTTGCCCTGGCCATGTGGCTCAGTTGGTTAGAGTGTCATCCTGTGTACCAAAAGGCAGACGGTTCAGTTCCCAGTCAGGACACATACTCAGGTTAAGACACACACCCTGGTTGTGAGTTCGATCCCCGGTCAAGGTGCATACAGGAAACAACAGGTCAATGTTTCTCTCTCACATCAACATTTCTCTCTCTCTCTCTCCCTTCTTTTCTCTATGCAATTACATGCTAACAAACACACACATCCAGCACACTTCTAGTTTTAAGATGGCATTTTAAGAACGTCTGATTATTTCTTTCTGCTTTAAAATTCCAAAGGAACAATGCAATATAAAAAGAGAAAAATCTGTTGCAGCACCAGAAAACATATTGTTAACAGGACAGAGTTTGTTAAAGACACAAAGCAGAAAAACTTGGGTGGAGAGAAAAGTCTATTGGTACTAACCATCTCAGGCAAAGGAAAGGTAGGCTTCGGAAGTAAGGGGTTGGGTTTCTCCAGTTGAGCCTCAGAAGCTGCCAAGTGCAGAGCCTAGAAACAAAGGCAGGCCTCCAGGCAGCCAATAGGAAAAGACAAAGGATAGAACTTGGGAGCCTCCCCAGAGCTTGGCTGACTGTTCACCTACAACTTCACATGACCCCACTGAAGCCCAGGTAAAGTGGGAACTTTACCTCCACGCTCCTAACATAAGCAGTAGCATCTGAAAGCTCAAGAACCCTCCCACATTTTTCATCATAATTGACTTAAGTTGGCATAAACAAACAAAAATCAGAAACTCACCACTCTCCCCCCTAATTTTCCCACTGATTCAAAAGATCCTAAAGTTCATCTTGAAAAAATAAAACGTGCCCTGGTCACCCACTTGGATGGCAAGAGCCAAAAATAGATTATAACCAACGTTGATGAAGATGTGGAGAAACTGGAATCCTCACACACTGTTGGCGGGAATATAAAATGATGCAGCTGCCTTGGAAAACAGTCTGGCAGTTCCTCCCAA